GAACAATCATGGGAGAAAGAAAGGCTGCTTATGCACAGGGAGACAGCTCAGGGGACAGGAGTGTATGGAGGGATGGACACTGGGAAGAGAGAACTATGGGGAGGAAGTGGGAGGGGAGCTGTTGCATTGTGGTAAACTGCTAATCTCAATGACATGAGAACAAAGTATATGTGAACTGCTGTATGGCAAGTGAATTTGCTCTGTAAATCTTCACCCAAATCACAATTAAAATAAATAAACAAATAAATAAATAAAAAGAAGTAAAGATGGCCAGACATCATCTCTTGTAATTTGGTCATGTTGTCAGAAGGGACCAATCCCTGAAGGATATAATGCTTGGTAAATTAGAGGGTCAGTGAAAAAGAGGAAGACCCTTAACAAGATGGGTTGACACAGTGGCTGCAACAAAAGGCTCAAGCACAGCAACGACTGTGAGGATGGTGCAGGACCGGGCAGTGTTTTGTTCTGTTGTACACAGGGTCACTATGAGTCAGAGCCACCTGACAGCACCTAACAACAGTAACACTGATAACAATGATGCTAACAGCAGCTAACATATACTGAGCAGTCACAGCACTCCAGCCTTGACACTATATTACACACACTGGATAAGTATTTGTAGCACAGCAACTTCAGAACTTCAGCCTCAAATTATCCCTTCCTCCACAAAGCAAAAAGGTGTTGGAAAGAGAGAACTCTTATATCCTGCTGGTCTGGCTGATCCTCCAAGCCATAGTCTCAAAGGTTTTGCATTTATGCATCTGACTTTAAGAGGCATCTTACCAAATAAGCTTTTACATTTTGACTCCTAATTTTCCTTTTCTGAAATTTGAAACACCAAATAGAGATCAAAGCTTTTTACATACCGGGGAAGTTTTTCAACTGGGATTCTAGCATCTTCAGTTTCAGGTTCTGCAGCACTGAAGTAAATACCAAAAACAAAAACAAAAAAATAGCCATTGATACAAGCAAAAAATAAAGACATTTTTTAAAAATCCAATAACTCTACATATGTGCTTGGTAGTATGGTTCAAGAAAAAAGGAGCCCTGTGGTGCAGTGGTTAAAGCATTCCACTGCTAACTAAAAGGCTTTGATTCAAACTCACCAGCTGCTCCACAGGAGATGAGGCAGTCTGCTTCTGTGAAGATTTACAGCCTTGTAAACCCTATGGGGAAGGAGTTCTGTTGGCACAGTGCCTAAGGCATTTGACTGCTAACCAGAAGGTTGGTGGTTCAAATCCACCTGCCGCTCTGTGGAGGGAAAGTTGGGCAATCTACTTCTGTAAAGATTTACCACCTTGGAAACCCACTGGGGGTCACTGTAAGTCAAAATTGACATGATGGAAGTGAGTTCGGTGGTTTTTTTTTTTTTTTTCTTTTTTGAGTAAACCCTATGGGGCCATTCTACTCTGCCCTATAGGGTTGTTATGAGTCAAAATCAACTCAACAGCAGTGGGTATATTGTATTGTAACTTAGAAAGGTCCTAGTGGGACACACATCAAGCAATTAATCACCAGTGGGGTTACAGAGGAAATTTGTACGTGGGGGTGGAGAGTAGCAGCATATGTCAAGGGAGAGTTTCATGTTTACCGTGTATCAAACCAAAACTGTTGCCACTGAATCAATTGTGACTCATAGCAACCCTATATAGGACAAAGAACTGCTCTATAGGGTTTCTAAGGCTGTAATCTTTTTGGAAGCAGACTGTCACATCTTTCTCCCACAGAGTGGCTGGTGGGTTTGAACCATCAATCTTTTGGATAGCAGCCTAGCACTTAGCCACTGTGGCACCAGGGCTCCTTGTATACTTAATTATAATTTGAATCTTTTGCAATGAGATAGCATTAACATTACTTGTATAATTTTATACTATTTAAAAATTGCTAAGTAAAATTATTCTCAATAATATTCTGAGTCTACTCTTAAATTTTCCCTTAAGATAATAGTAATATCATCACAGAAATGTTATAAAACCCATAAAGATATAAACAAATAAAAATTACCCATAATGTACTGAGTTTCTGTTTAGGGAAAAACTTGAAGTTGAAAAACTTTTAGAAACTGTATTTTCACACATAACGTGCCCAAGCAAATAATACACATATATAACACATATAGTGCTCACAGGAAACTAGTATGCAAGGGAGTTGCACAATTTGCAAAACACCATATAATGCATGTGTTATTTGCATAAAAATAAAGTAGAGTGAGGTTGGTTGCACTAAATGGTCAGTGTAATTAATGCTGCTGAACTATATATTTAAAAATGGTTAAATGGCAACTTTTTTGTTATATACTTTTTTTTTCAATATTTTTTAAAAAGTAAATAATAATAATAAATTGCCCATACTCCTACCACTCTTGATAACCCCTGTTAATATTTGGTTGTGCTTTCTTCTGGCCTTTTATCTATATACTTACATATAAACATGATATATGTGTGTTTAAAAACAAAGTTGGGATAATATTATATATAGTTTAAATACAAAGTTTGGGATTATATTATATATAGTTATATATATTGTATATAGTTTGCTTCCTGTGGTTTCAGTTTAGCATTATAAATTGTTAGCAGACTGTTTCTTTCATCATATGGCTGTACTGTATCAAGTCTTATTTCTCATAAATATTCATGGGAGTCTGAGACTAACTTTCCATTTCCTCACATTTATATTCAACTTCAAGGAGAAAACAACTTATACTTATTCTGCAATGCAGTATAATTACCCTTTTCCTGATAAAGCTGGACAAATTGGACTCTTGTAATTCTCAGCCACATTTCCACAAGAGGTACACTGAGTTTTAAATAAGCTACCTGAAAAACACAAGTTAAGGAAATTCAAAATTTAATAAATTGAGAATGATCATCTCCACATCTAAAAGGGTACAGAATAGTTTTTGTACATTGATTATGGCAAATACGCCTACCCTAGGAATTATGGGAAATAGAAAAGCATGAGGTCCTACTGAACAAGCCAAGAACATGTACTCCAAGGAGTTTACAATCTAGAGAGGAAGAAGGCAGATGAGATAACTAACTACATGGCTAATCTATTGCTAAATGACCTTGGAGTGCTGCTCAAGTGAAATTAAAGAGGGCAACAGGATTGATGAAGCCTAACATAAAGCTAAGGGAATGATTCACTAAGCATGTGATTGATAAAGGTTCAATAGCTTGGGATATGTTTAGGGAATTTTGATTTAAGAAAGCATGAGTCTGGGCCAAAATCCATTAAATGGGGAAGAGAATGTCTGTTTAATAAATGGTGCTGGCAAAATTAGACATCCATTTGCAGAAAAATGAAACAAGATTTGTACCTCACACCATACACAAAAACTAACTCCAGATGGATCAAAGACATAAATGTGAAACCATAAACTATAAAGTTTGTCAAGGAAAAACTAGAGACAAATTTGTTGTTGTTGTTGTTGTTATGTGCCGTCGAGTCGGACCCGACTCATAGCGACCCCTCCTTGAGTTTCTGAGGCAGTATCACTACGGAAATAGATTGCCCCATCTTCCTTCCGAGAAGTGGCTGGTGGGTTTGAACTGCTAGCCTTCTGGTTAGCAGTCAAGTGCCTTAGCCACTATGCCACCAGAGCTCCCAGAGACAAATTTAGAGGCCTAATATATGACATAGACTATCAAGTATAACCCAAAATGCACAAATAGCAGAAGACAAACTAGATGAATGGGACCTTCTAAAAACTAAACTTTTACATGTTTCCAAAAACTTCTCCCATAGATCAAAAGAGAACCTACAGATTGGGAAAATATATTCAGCAATGATGTATCTGAAAAGAGACTTGTGTGTAGAATTTTACAGAAAATTCCAACACCTCAACAACAAAAAGACAAATAATCCAATTTAAAAATGGGCAGAAGACATGAATAGACACCAAAGAGGATATTCAGGCGGCCACAAACTATGAAGAAATGCTCATGATGATTAGCCATGAGAGAGATGCAAATCAAAACAACAATGAGATACCATCTTGCCCCAGCACTCACAGCAAAGTTCAACAAGACAGAAAATAAAAACTGCTGGCGAGGATGTGGAGAGATTTGGACTCTTATACACTGCTGGTGGGACTGTAAAATGATACATTCACTGTGGAAAGCAATATGGAGATTCCTTAAAAAGTTGGAATTAGAAATACTATTTGACCCAGCCATTCCATTACTAGGTATATATCCTAAAGAAGTGAAAGCCAGGACAAGAACAGACATATGCATACCCATGTTTACAACAGCCAAAAGATGGAAACAACCTAAGTAACCCATCAACTGAAGAAAGGTAATCAAACTCTGGTACATACACACAATGGAATACTATGCAACTCTAAGGAATAATTCAGAATCTGTAAAACACCACATAACATGGATGAACTTGGAGGACATTATGCTGAGTGAAATAAGTCAATCATAGAATGACAAATATTGTATTAATCCATTATTGTATAAAGTCAAGGAAAGGTTTATACATGGAAGGAAATTTTGTTAGTTACCAGGGGTGGGAGGAGAGAGAGACAAGTATTGATTTGGGTGAAGAGAAGGGCAATGTACCAAATGTGAGTGATCAACATGGTGGCACTGAGGAATATGAAGACATAGAGAGTGCATGGGAGGTACAGACAATGAAGATTAATCCTTTTGCACATAGAGTACTGTGTTGTCAGTGAAGGCAAACATGTATATACAGGAGGATAGATGGGTGGACAGGCTGAACTATTAGGTATGTCTATGCAGGGGGAAGTGTGCCCAAGACCATGTATAGGGTTGGCAGACAATGTTTCTATAAGTGTATTTGTATGTTCTGTAAGAATTCCCAGGTATATGGCAGAGCTGACAAGGGATAAGGTTGTAGTCACTTCTTAGCCACAGCCAGCTACCCAGAGGGAGGAAGTAGTTAGGCCTGTGGGCTTGGGACCATAGTCACAGGGAACATCAAGCTCAACTGGCATAACATACTACACAAAACATTGTTCCACATCCTACTTTGGCGAGTAGTGACTGGGATCTTAAAAGCAGCCATCTAGGTACAACAATGTTTCTCTCCTCGTCCAGAGCAAAGAAGAATGAAGAAAACCAAAGATTTATGGAAACAATTGGTCCAAGGGACTGCTACACCATGTGATTCTCAGCCTATATGACTGAGACCAGAAGAACTAGATGGTGCCTGGCTACCACTGTCAACCACTCAGAGGGAGATCTATGTAGGAGATCCTGGATAGAGTGGGAGAACAATGTGGAACAGAACTCAAAATCATAAAAAAAAAAGGGGGGGGGGGGTGACACACCAAGTTTGCTGGTCTGATAGAACCTGGTGGGACCCCTGAGACTATGGCCTCTAGCTGCCCTTTAGGTCTGGAATTGAACCTATTCCTGTGGCTTCCAGCCAAACAAGAGACAAGTGTATGGGCTGAACATTTACATTAGGTATTATGTAGATATTGCAGAAAAAGGAAACAAGATCTGTACCTCACACCATACACAAAAACTAACTCCAGGTGGATCAAAGACTTAAATGTGAAACCTCAAACTATAAAGTTCCTCAACAGAAAACTAGGGGCAAATTTAGAGGCCCTAATATATTTTTTTAGTTTTTTTAATATATGGCATAAATAGACTGTGAAGCATAACCCAAAATGTACAAACAGCAGAAGAGAAACTAGATGAATGGGACCTTCTAAAAATTAAATTTTTATGTGCTTTCAAAGACTACTCCAAAAGAGAACCTACAGATTGGGAAAAAATATTCTGCAGTGAGATTCTGACAAGGGACTTATCTCTAAAATTTATAGAAAACTCCAACACCTCAACAACAAAAAGACAAATAATCCAATTAAAAAATGGTCAGAAGACATGAATAGACACTTCACTACAGAGGATATTCAGGTAGCCAACAAACACATGAAGAAATGCTCACGATCATTAGCCATTAGAGAGATGCAAATCAAAACAACAAGATACCATCTGGCCCCAGCACTAAAAGCAAAGTTCAACAGGACAGAAAGTAACAAATGCTGGCAAGGATGCAGAGAGACGGGGACTCTCATACACTGCTGGTGGGATGATAAAATGGTACAACCACTGTGGAAAGTGTATGGCAATTCTTTAAAAAATTGGAATTAGAAATATCATATGACTCAGCCATTCCATTACTAGGTATATATCCTAAAGAAGTGAGAACCATGACAAGAACAGACATATGCACACCCATGTTCCTTGCAGCACTATTTACAACAGCCAAAAGATGGAAACAACCGAGGTATCCATCAACTGAGGAACAGATAACCAAACTTTGGTACATACAATGGAATACTATGCAACACTAAAAGATAACGTAGAATCTGTGAAACACCCCATAACGTGTGTGATAGTTGGAGCTGTGTGTCAACTTGACTGAACCACAGTTCTGTGTGGTTTAAGCTGTTGTGATGTGGTTATTCCCATGATGGGATCAGATGATTATGTTTTGAGCAGCCAATCTGTTGTAAAGGAGTTTCCCTAGGGGTGTGGCCTGCTTCCAGTATATCTATGGACACCTTGGGAAAAGAGACATTCTTCTGTGGATCGGGATTCTGTTGTGCTGCCTACAACTGTCCGCGAGCAAACAATCCACCATTTGGTCTGGAGATCTTGGATTCATCATTCGTTGGAGTCAACAGCCAGTACACTGCCTGCCAGCCTTGAGCTCCTCAGCCCCTGTGGCTGCAAGAGTCGGGAAAAGCCTCCAGCTTGACGTTTGATCCAGGAATTTTGGACTTGCCAGCTTCTGTAAGTATGTGAGCCATTTTCCTAAGATAAATTTCTCTCTCTCTCTCTATATATATATATATAAGCTTTACTGGTTTTGTTTCTCTAGAGAACCCAGTCTAATACAACATGGATGAAGTTGGAGGGCATTATGCTGAGAGAAATAAGTCAATCACAGAAGGACAAATATTGTTTTAGTCCATTATTGTAAAAAGTCAAGGAAAGGTTTATATATGGAAGGAAACTTTCTTTGTTGGTTACCAGGTGTGGGAGGGGAGGGGAGAAAACAATGCAAAAATTAAAAAATGAATAAATAAATAATTTTTTTTAAAAAAAAGCATGGGTCTTTTTACACGAAAGCACCTCAAAAAATAATAATTGCCTAATAAAGAAAATTCCTAATACAACTACATTATATTAACAATTAAGCATTAATATAATTTAACAACCATTTGTAACAACCATTTATTGAGCAATGATGGTGTCTACTGTTTATTAACTGTATGCCATGAGTCCAGTCCTGTACTGAGAACTTCATGTACCACGTACCAGTTGCCGTTGAGTTTATGGCTCATCACCTCACATGTATCACAGTAGAACTGTGTTTCATAAAGTTTTTAATGGCTGATTTTTTGGAAGTAGACTGCCAGGCCTTTTTTCCAAGGCTCCTCTGCTTAGACTCGAACCTCCAACCTTTTGGTTAGCAGCTGAGCATATTAACCATTTGTACCACCCAGGGACCCCTAACAACATAGTGGACATACACTGGTTCTTTCTGGCATCCCTTTTTTGGAGAAACATCCTTCCTCCATCCCAGGATGAGCTGTAAACACAGCCCAAAATACTGGGACAGGCATATGTTTGGATCAAGTGCCCCCTCCCTCTGGCCACAGTGTTTGGTTAAAGGGTGGGTGTGTGACCCGAGCAAGGCCACACAGAGGGTCATTTTCTGAGGAGAAAGGTAAATGAGAGTGAGCCTGGAGCCACCAGAAGCTGTCCTCCCCAGCGAGAGGAAGATCAGCTACAGCAGGAAAAGTGAAACCACCCCAAAGAGGAAAGCAAAGCTGAGAGAGGGAGAGGGAGAGAGGCAGGGCAAGAATGACAGGGAGCTGCTAATGACATCAGCTCCACTCCAAGGCTCCGCCATTTCTAGAGCTACCTTTTTTTAAAAAAATAAAATAAAATAATCATGATTTGGGTGAAAGTATACAGAGCAAATTGGTTTTCCATTCAACAACCCATACACATTGTTTTGTGACATTTACTGCAATCCCCACATTGTAACAGCACTCTTACCACTTCCTTGCTGCCTCCACCCCTTCTCTTAGTCCTTTCTCTCATTCCATCCTGCCTTTCTAGCTCTGTCGCTGGGCAAATACCGCCCTCTTGATTGCATATGCTTGATTGCTGTAATGAGTGCATACCCTCCTGGTATTACTGTTCACCTTAGAGGCTTATCTATTGTTTGGCTGAAAGCTGAGTCACAGGGGTTCAGTTCAGTTCCTAGCTTAAAGGGTTTCTAAGTGCCATAGTCTTGGGGGTTTCACCAGTCTTCATCAGATCATGAACTATCTTTACACCTATCTTACAGTGTTGATATGGGCATTTTTTTTCCCCATTTTAACATCTCTGCAATTGGGATATGTCCTACAATTGTTATTAACTGGATGACAGATAGGATGTGATTATCACTCTGTCTTTGCCCACACAAACTTATTGAAGGAGAACAATGATGACCAGAGTATGGTGACTTGAAAGTTATCCTCAGTGGTCTGACTGGACCAGCCCCTGGATATTTCAACTGACAAACCATTTAAGGACCACTGAGGAAGGAACACGAGTCCTGGGTATTATCTAAAGAACTTACATCACCATTGACACCTTTTGGTAAGATTAGAAAGGCCCAATATTGAATGTAAAACAAATCTGTTTTGTAAAATCACAATAAAAAGTTGGTTTTTTTTTTTTTTTTTTTTAAAGGGTCAGGGGAGCCCACTACCAGACTTGCAGAATGTGTGTCAGCTTGAAAGAAAGTCCCAGAGACAACAGAAGAGCATCCTCCAGACAATACTGCATCACCAATCCCCATGGTGCCCAGAGCATGAGGCTTTGTCAAAAGCACAGGCACCAATGCCCCTGAGTCCCTCAGAAGCAATTCAGAGGAGCTCAATAATGAGAAATAACCAATTCATTTCCCTTATACTTCCTGTTTTATATATCCACAAGAATGATATATTTTCTAAAAGTCTATGTCTAAATAACTTTAAAAGTCCTTTCTATAACTATAAAATAACAGTTCTAATAGATAAGAAAATACATCCTGGTTTCATTAGCAGATTTTTTTTTTTTTTTCTGAATCGTCCATTAAAGAAATGATGCATCTTATAAGCAATACTGTCTTCAGTTTGAGGAAATAAGGAGGTTTCTTGGATTTTTACTTAAGTTAGAAGAGACATCTCATCACTTGAAACCAAAAACACCCCAACTAATATGCATGTATTATCTTATTCACTCCTTAAAACATCTGTGAAAGATAGGTATTAGCATCTCTGTTTTATATAATTTGAACGTGACTAAAGGCACAGCCTATATTCTGACATTACAGAAGAATGAGAATAGCCTTGTAAAAGCTGCCCAGACCTAGTTGATGTGCGTACCAAGAAGACACCTGGTTAATATGTGGGTGACCCAAGAGAGGGATGGGATCTGATAGGAGCATGCTCACCACTCCTTCTCCTGGGCCACTGCTGGACCAAAATAGGCAGCTTCACTGTACACACACAGATACATACCATGTCCCCTTCTGGTTCACTGTTTCTGGAAATTCCACAATTAGAAACACATTTCTCCTTGAAAACATTATGCTGAGTGAAATGAGTTAAGCACAAAAAGACACATATTGTATGATCCCACTTATATGAAATGTCTAGAATAGGCAAATCCTCCTCGGAAGGAAGATGGGGCAATCTACTTCCGTAGTGATACTGCTTCGGAAACTCAAGGAGGGGTCTCTATGAGTTGGGTCCAACTCGACGACACACAATAACAACAACAAAAAAGAAATCTAAAAGGCTCCTAGAGGATGCCCCTGCCTCTGGTTTTCAGACCACATTTTGAATAGTGAGGATGCAGAAAATGAAAAGTGAATAAAAAGAAAGGAAGGAGACTGGGTCAGGGTGGTCCTATCATCCCTAGAGGTAGTTCTTCAAAGGTATATGGCACTGAAGAATGCTCCATGCATCCTGAGGGAAGGAACAGGTACCCAAAGGAAGGCAGGGAAGGTGTCAGGGATCAGGCTGAAATGGCAGAATGTGTTTTAAAATCTGGTTCCCCTCCCAAGGAGAGGCCAAGCGTCCCTCACCATGGATTTCCAGAAGGTTCTTGGTGCCAGCCTTACGGTGCAGCTCGTCGATGTTCTGAGTGATGACCACCACCCGCCGCCCCTGCCTGTGTAGCCGGGCCTCACATTCGGCGATGGCAAGGTGCCCCGGGTTTGGGTCCTTTCTCTGCATGATCTCCCGCCGATAGTGGTAGAACTCCCATACCCGGGATGGGTTTCGGGCAAAGGCTTGAGGAGTAGCCAAGTCCTGGGTGAGAGAGAAGAGGGAGTCAGGGAGGGAAACAGAGGCAGCAGGGCTGAGGGGAGGAGCTGAACTTTGGGAAACACTAGAGTGTCCATTGTTTTCTAGAAGAGCCACTTTGGGAGGGTACAAACTAGGACACATGGCTGCTTTAGATCAAGCAGGTGTCAGCAGGCAGGGCAGGACCTGGAATCTGTGTCTCAATCTAGGGCTAGCCTGGGACCTTGGGAAAATTACTCTGGTGGTGTAGTGCCTAAGGATTTTGACTGATAATCAGAAGGCTGGAGATTCAAACCCACCAGCCACTCCTCGGAAGGAAGATTGGGCAATCTACTTCTGTGAAGATACCACCTTGGAAACCCAAGGAGGGAACACTATGAGTTAAATGGACTCAATGGCCATGAGTTTGTTTTTTGTTTAGAGGGCAGGGGTAATGCAACCTGTTCCGTTTACCTGTCAAGTAAATTATGAATGTGAAGTAAAGTGATGAGGGAAGGTGTTTTGGGTTGAATGCACTTTTTCACGGAGCCCCAAAATATATGAAGCGAAATCTCATTTTGGGGTCTCCCTGGGGGAAAATAGTAAACTTAAAAATGCCCCAGTGAAGTACGATGGTCATAAAACAAAAAAACTAAAACCACTGCCATCGAGTTGATTCCAACTCATAGCAACCCCCACTGGGTTTCCAAGGCTATAAATCTTTACAGAAGTAGACTGCCTCATGTTTGTTCTGAGAAGCAGCTAGTGGGTTTGAACCACCGACCTTCTGGTTGGCAGTCAAATACCTTACCTATTATGCCACCAGAGCTCCTTGTGATGGTGTTCTAGTTACCTAGTGCTACTCAGACATGAAATATACTGCAAATGGGATGATCTTAATAAACAGAAGTTTATTCTTAAAATTTGGAGGCTTTAAGTCCAAGTTCAAAGTGCCAGGCTCTAGGGGCTGGGTGAAAGCCCCTCAACCTTGGGGTCCAGCTCTGCCTCCTGCTCCCAGCCCACTGGAGCTAGAGGCATTTCTTCACTCAGACAGCTGCTGGCTGCTGAGGCTGAGAAGTCCCAAGGTTGACAAGTAAAAAGACACAGTCCCCATGTTACCGAACCACACAGCAGGCCATTAATTTAAGTCCATTGTAAGTCCCAAGGTTGGCAGAGCATAGCAGGCTGCTCACCAAAGACATGGCTACATGCAGGGTTCAAGCGTGCCATAGGCTAGAGACCATTCCCAAGGCTTCTCCTTAAATACAGGAAGCAGACCACATTCCCAAAGGCAGCTATTCAGCTGCTTGTGGTAGATCCCACCATAGAGCTGACTGCCAATCTCATCATGGGGAATAACTACCACCAGCTGCCCAGCCACTCAACCAGGCCCAGCCAAGTTGACACAAACTAAACTACCACAGATGGTTATAGTTTAGAAATTCTGTTTTAGTAACCATAACTATAATATGTATGTATATATATACATATACACACACACACACATAAATATCTATAAAGCTGTTGTTGTTATGTGCCGTCGAGTTGGACCCAACTCATAGCGACACCTCCTTGGGTTTCCAAGGCAGTATCACTGCCGAAGTAGATTGCCCAACCTTCCTTCTGATAAAGCAGTAGATGCTATATTAACAGAATATACAAAATATTCTGCATAATACAGTATGGCTCCTCTTCAGGAGAGACAAACCTTACCTAGGGTGACTCAGAGCAGAGCTGTAGCTATTGAGGGCTGGGCTGACAGAGAACAGGTGCAAGGCAAACTTTAAAGGAGCTTTGGTGGCACAGTGCCTAAGGCATCTTACTGCTAACCAGAAGGATGGTGGTTCAAACCCACCAGCCTCTCCATGGAAGAAAGACAGGGCAATATACTTCCATAAAGATTTACTGCCTCGAAAGCCCAATAGGGGTCACAATCTTTAGTCGTGACCAAAGTGCTCTCTATCTTGATTGGGTGGTGGCATTATACAGGTATATCCTTCTATCAAAACTCATCAAACTGTACCATTGAATGTGTGCATTTTATTGTATGTAAATTTTACCTCAATAATGTTGACTTTAAAAAGAAGTATGGTTTCTCCATCAAGTATAAGTTTCCCACATTGAACATTTATACACTTCATTTTACTGAAAAGGCCCCCCTTCTAGAGGGTTGCAATGTCAGCCATTGTTTTGAGCATGGATAGTCTATGCTGTGGATTATCCACATCAACTGTGCTTCTCTTCCTTCCTATTCTCCATGTGGAACACACCTAGCCTAAAGCAATTACAGGTGGCACGTGAGCCTATATATGTGTGTACCTGCATGCATATGTGCACTGGCTTTTGTCCCTGGAATGTGGTTGGAACCAAATACATTCCCTTGACTTCTTTGCCTCTCCACAAACTCTGAGTGGCTTCTGACACGAAGGCCACCCCTCTCTCAGCTTCTCCCAGTTCTCTCCAAAGCCCCCATTCCCCTGCTGCTACTTCTAAGTCAGGACTACTCTGTGCTGGCTCCTCTTTCTGTTGGTACCCTCATGGCCCTCTGCTCTTCTGTTTCCCTCCTCTCTAAACATGAAGATTCCAACCAAATCCACAAGCCTCACCTGGAAGGCAGCCGAGAGACAACAAAGCACCCTAAACATTTACTAGCCTGAGACACTTAACAGAGGAAAGACAGTAAACAGGCTCACAAATCCTCTACTCAACAAAAAATCACCTACTAAATTGGAAGCCATGTACTGAAGTAGTCATTTGTGATTGCTTGGACAATCCACTTCCGTAGTAACACCACCTTGGAAACCCAAGGAGGGGTCACTATGAGTCAGACCTGACTTGACTCGACGGAAATGAGTTTGGTTTTTTTTTTTTTTTTTTTTTTCCGGTTGTTCAACCCACAAAAATCTATTGAGCATCTAGTATATGTCAGAGACTATTCTGGGAGCTAGGGATAGAGTAGTGAATAAAACAGACAAAAATCTCTGCCTTCTAACACTATAATGGTTTCCCAGGCAGGGGGCTGGAAGGGGACTGACTGGAAAGGATCATGAGGGAATATTCTGGAGGAATAGAAATATTCTTTATTATGATTGTAGGGGTGGTTATATAACTATATACATTTGTCAAAGTTCATTGAATTGTACAGTGAAAATTGGTTATAAATAAATAGATAGATACATAGATAGATAGATACACACATATATATATACATATATACACACACACAATAAAAGTTAAATTTAAAAAGAGCCACACCCTTATAGAATTTACATTCGAATAGCCTTATCAAGCCTTCAACTATCAACCTTAGTTTTAACATGAAAAGATGATGAAAGTTTAAAAATATAATACTTAATTTCAATATCTTTAGAAAAATAAAGGAATTATGCTAGCCAAGTCTTTCTGACTCCACTTTAATGTAATTACTAAAAGAAATCTAATTGTTGTCTAAATAAATGCAATCTGTACTTATCTAAAAAGTAAGCAAAGTGCCTAATTTGCTTAACTTTTCTATCCTAATCATAGCAGACTTGATCTGTGTTGATGCCAAAGTGAACAGGACAAAAGGGTCACAGTGAATTTCAAAATTTTTCCTTCCAGGTTTCAGGCATGCATAAGCATTCAGGGTCAAGCTCTGCTGTGGTTTCATTCAGAAGAGCATTTTAACCTGGAAACATTACTGACCTGAGCTTGCCATTTTCTCCAGTAACCTCCAGCTCCTCTGAAAGTCGGGACACCGCTTTCAGCACTAACACCAGCCCCTGTAAGGATGACGATGTGCTTTGCTTTTGCAAAAACTTTCCGAAAATCTGCCATATCTAAACAGAAAATAAAATCTTTATCAATCCAAAATACCATTCAACTTCAATATTCCATATCAGTTTTCTATATTTTGAAACTTGACCTTGTATGAAGTTACATTTCAGGATACTCAAATAAAACACGAATTCTGTACCATGAGGGTGTGTGGCCTGACACGTGAGAAGACTTTCAGACAGAAGCAGGGGCTTCAGGCACATGAAACTGGGTTTGAATCTCAGCCTTCCCACTCATCTGTATAATCTGAAGCAAATTATTTTTTCTATCCTATGTTTCTTTGGCTGTGGGATATACAAGGTAGTGCCTTCCCTATGCAGGATTGTGATGAAGATTTTAAAAGGTTAAGGGATGGTGCATTAGTTTCCTAGGACTGCTCTAACAAAGCACCACAAACTGGGTGGCTTAGAACAAAATAAATACATTCTCTCACAGTTCTGGAGGCTGGGAGTCGAAGATCAGGGTGTCTGCTGTGTGTGCTACTTCTGAGAGCTCTGGGGAAGAATCCATCCCACGCCTTTCTCCGAGTTTCTAATTATGGCTGGAGATCCTTGGTGCTCCCTGGCTTATAGATCACTCCAGTCTCTGCCTCTGTCTTCACAGGGCCACCTTCCCTCAGTGTATTATATATATATAATACACTGCTTCTGTGCACTGGCTTGTGTCCCTGGAATGTGGTTGGAGCCAAATACATACCATTGACTTCTTTGCCTCTCCACAAACTCTGAGTGGCTTCTGACACTATACACACACACACACACACACATAATATATATATATATATATATATTTTTTTTTTTTTTAAAAAAAAGATCACCCAGTCTTACTTCTGTGGAGTGGCTAGTGGGTTTGAACTGCCAACCTTCTGGTTAGCAGTCAAATGCCTTAGGCATTACACCACCAGAGCTCCATATATATACATATATACAAAAACATACACACACATATATGAAATTTACTGAATAGTAGATTATGGAGAATATTTTTTTAACTATTGCTGATCAGTACTTTCTGATTCTTCTCTGATTAATATGTATTTATCAAAAAAAATTAATAAAGTCCTTATTTAAAAACAACAAAACCAAGTTATACTGAATTCCCACCTCTGTAAATATGAACCTGTTTGGCAACAGGGGTTTACTTCTGTTAGGTGAATGAGGCCACACCAAAGTACGGTAGATCCTAAACCTAATTCCTTTTGAATGATGTCTCTTAAAAAGAGTAGAACAGACACTAAGACACACACAGCAGGAAGAGACCATGTGTAGAACTGTCTCCAAGCCCAGGAATGTCCAGGGCTACTGACAAGGAAGGACACTCCTCTAGAGCCCATGCTGTGATTTGGACTTCTGGCCAGTTCAGATACCCTGCTCTCTTTAGGTATAATCACTCTAGCCACCATGCCAATCAAGCTAAAACTCTGCCTAAACTCCTATTTGTATCAGACATAGACTGGTACAAAAAAAATGAGGCCCATCTGGAGACTGAAAGTATCCCACAAGGAGGGATTCAGGGGAAACAACCTGATCTGGGAGGATGAGAGTTTATATTGATCTAACCTCCTACAAGAGCAACATGTTTAATAAGAAAATGAACCAATATATTTCCAAGAATATAAATCCTGGGCTCAAACCCTATGTTGTTGTTGTTGTTAGGTACTGTTGAGTTGGCGCCAACCAATAATGACCCTGTGTACAACAGGACAAAACACTACTGGGTTATGTGCCATCCTCACAATTCTTGCTATACTTGAGCCCATCGTTGCAGCCACTGTGTCAATCCACCTTTTTGAGGGTCTTCCCTTTTTTTGGTGACCCTCCACTTTACCAAGCATGATATCCTTCTCCAAGGAATGGTCCCTTCTGACATGACAAAAGTACATGTAGTAGTTAAGGTTATGTATCAATTTGGCTAGGCCTGGTTTTGAGCGGCTGGGCAGTTGAATGTAGCTATTCCCCATGATGAGTTTGGTAATCAGCTCCATGGTGGGATCTACTGGAGCAGCTAAGTGGCTGCCTTAGGGATGTGGTCCACTTCCAGTATATAAGGAAAAGCTTTGGAAATAATCTCTATAGCTTTTTGGCATGCTTGGACCCTGCATGTGGCTGAGTCTTCATTCAACAATCTGCCATGTTTCCTGCTGATCTTGGGACTGTCTCTGGATTTGAAACTAGTGGCTTCCTGTGTTATTTGGTAATATGGAGACTGTGTCATTTTATTTGTTGACGTTGGGCTTGTTAGCCTTAGCAGCCAGCAGCTACCTGAATGAAGAGATGCCTCTACCTCCAGCGGGCTGGGAGCAAGAGGCAGAGCAGAAACCCAAGGTCGAAGAGCCTTTACCTAGCCCCTAGAGCTGGCACTTGAACTTGAGCTGGCACTTGAACTTGAGCTGGCACTTGTACTTGGACTTCTAGCCACCAAAATGATAAAAGAATAAAGCCCTGTTTGTCAAGACCACCTATTTGTGGTATTTTCTGTTAGAGCAACACAAAATAACCAAAACAGTAGGTGTGATGAAGTCTGGTCATTCTCACTTCCAAGGAGCATTCTGGCTGCACTTTATCCAGGACAGATTTGTTCATTCTTCTGGCAGTCCATGGTATTTTCAGTATTCTTTGCCAATACAATAATTCAAACCCTATAAATAACCTTAAAAGACTTTCAAGTTCTCCCATAAAACATTCCCCAGCCCTGGAAATCTTTCCTACACCAAGTATAAACTCTGCCATCTACCAACAAACATATTCCTAGGTAGAGTGATTTTTTCTTTTTTTTTTTAATTAAGGTACAATTTTAAGCAACTTCTAGAAACACAAAAGTCAACTTAGATTTCTTGGAAAACAAGACGTAAAATTTAGTGATTTTGATGTGATGTGAAATCTTTTAAAAAGACATTCCTCAACTTCTAAAGAAAAACACACCAGCATATTTTGCGGGCCCCAACACACTGGGGCTTTATCTGGCAGAGGTCAGGCATAGACTTCTTGATCCTTCCAGACTCTAACAGCCTGTCCTGCACAGCTGTGAACACCAGGGCTTGGGTCATTAAGTGGGACTGGGTTCTTTTCAGCTCCTGAAAACAAAAAACCAAACCAGTTGCTGTTGAGTCTATCTGACTTGCATCCCCACGTGTGTCAGAGCAGAACTGTGCTCCATGGGTTTTCAGTGTCTGTTTGTTTTCAAAGTAGATTGCCAGGCCTTTCTTCCAGGGTACCTGAGAGACACTCAAACCTCCAACTTACTGTCAGCAGCCAAATTATTTCACAGTTTGTGTTGCAAAGGTTGGACAAAATTGAATACTAGGCCTGAGCAGACTCATAGTATTAGGAAAAGTTATCTAAAAGTTGGAAATAAAGCAGAAAGAGTTCAGCATGTGCTGTCAATGGCATAGTGAAGTACTGCTTAACAGGCTCACCCATGGATCATTTAATTACAGAAACTTGTTAGACTCTAAGCTCACAATTAAGTAAGGGCTCAGACATGATAATTTGTAGACTTTTGTTGGTAGGGATACAAATTATTTCTGTCCAGTAGAAAATTTACTCCTATATTGCCCTTTAGGACAATCACCAGCTTTCTTTCACTGCAGAGAGGTAAGGCATTTAAGATACAAATCATGTCTGATAAGCTTAAATGCCAATATTCTGGAAGAAATAACAAACTGTCTTAAATGGACTTAATTTGACTATGATGAGATAAGATCTCTGACTCTATCTTAAAAAAGGGCTTGTTTAAAGGAAAAGAAGACAAAGTGGCTTTCTCCAAAATCCTGCCTGGCACTCTAGCTACGTGTGGCTACTGTCCATTTCAAATGTAGCTAGTCTGAATTGAGTTGTGTATAAATGTAAAATATATACTGACTTTTGAAGATTTAGTATGAAAAAAAAATTCTCATTAATAATTTTTCATACTGAAAATCTGGAGGAAATGGACAGTTTTCTAGAAACACAACACTTACCTAAACTAACACAGACTGAAGTGGAAAATTTGAACAGGCCCATCACAAAAGAAGAAATTGAACAGGTCATCAAAAAATTACCAACT